GCGGAGGACCGACCGAGTTATCCCATGGCACGAGGGGTGTCCTGCCACTCGGCCCTGCCACGCGTCCTGTAACCCAGCAGGACAGCTCGACTCTCAGCCTCTGCTGGCACAGCTGTGCTCAGCTGTCACTTCTGTTTAGGTTTTTTCCCTGCCAAAAAAATCATTTTGTCAAGTTACTTTTGGCAGCATCTCTGGATCCGACAAAAGACGGAGGAGCTTTTCTATCAGAGCTGAGAAGAGCACAGATGCCTGTGAGAGGGGAGGTTGAGCAAGACGATCCCCAGAGGTCCTTCCACCTTCCGCCACTTGGTGATTTACTGCTGGCAAAGAATGCCAGGGGAAGGGCTGCCAAAACCCAGAAGCTTTCATCTTGTGCGGGAAAACTTCCTCTGGGCTCAGGAGTTACCTGCCTGTCAGATTAGAAAAGGAGGGATGGAGCAACCATCTGAGCTTCAGCCTGGCACCCAGCGTGTCTAGATTCAAATTCCCTGCCTGAGGATTCATGCGCCCTCGTTTCACCCAGGCTTGGCTCGCTGGGACGGAGCAGTCTGCCCATGGTTAATGGAGGGAAACCGGCCCCTGCAGATCCGTGATTCATCCCAAGCCTCTGCTATACCTATTTCAAGGTGACAGGAATCGCCTTCTGCAAGTGCTCTTCACTACCCGGTGAATTTGCCTAGATTCACATAATGTAAAGATGGTGAACGTTAGGCCAGGTGGACTCAACCTCTCATGCTGCTGGACCCTCATTAACCCAAATACATGCAAGACATCACTGAGAGGCAGAGAACCACTCGATCTAGATTTGCTCGCATCAGAGGAACATTTTTTTGCCGTTCTCTACCCCTCAGGAGATGCTAGTTTGCTCTTCAACGGAGGTGAACGCCAACGTCGCTGTGCCCAAAATGGTGCGATGATAAAACACGTTAATTTGCCACTGATGAAGTACGAACGCTGCTTCTTCCTCTCCCTGCCTCCTCCCTGCTTTTCCTTAAACTACACGCCGCATGATTGATTCTTTCGCCGCTCTGCTCTTCAATTTGTGTCGTGGGGATCCAACACGCGCTGCCCAGCTATGCCACTGGAAGTCTCCATCCTCAGAGCAGCCAGTTTTTCTTCAGTTTTTCTGAAAAAACGTTAAAAATCACTAAACGAGCCCAAACCATGCACGAGAGCCCTGTCAGCTGGTCCAGCTCACGCTGCACCCCTGCTTGCTGTCAGGTGGGAGGGGTGTAACCCATTGGTATTTGTCATATCATGACAACAGTTTGAAGGTGGTTTTAAAGGCATAACCTAAGAATCCAAGGTTCATGGCCTCTGTGGATCCCTGACGCACAAGAACCTTTGAACTGTTTACCTGGTGTTTTTTTGTGGGCAGAAGATGAGTTTCTTGGTCAACACACTACAGTGAACTCAAACTGCAACCGTCGCTTCATCTCACCCACGTTTTCTAAAAAGAAAACCCAACTGTGACCACATGTGGCCGTACAAACCACCGAGTTACCCGGGTGAATGTGTTTATTTCCACAGTAAAAGAAGAAAATCAGAGCTCCTACGCTTGTGGCATGAGTACTCCACAAAATACAGGGGCATCAGTAAACCATGTGGGTCAGGGCTGAAGCCGCAACCTCATGGCATCTGCTGGGTCATCCGTTCACCCTCATCTGTCCTTTGATGTCCCAGGATGAATATATTGGAAATGCACAGATTATTGCACGTTAAGAGCGCAAAAAAATGATCCTTTATATTGAAGGACGTATTCTGGGGGGATCAGAGACTGACGGATACCTCTCCACAACAGTGCCCATTAAAAAGCAGGTGCTTTCCTCTGTCTTCTCTAGCAATCGGCCTCAAAAAAAGCTGATTTCCATTCCAGGCAAATTTCTGTGTTTGCCACTGCACACAGGGCAACAGGACGACGGGAATCAACCTCAAAGCTTCATCTGTTGCTGCTTTCCTGGAGGGGAAGGTGTTCCTGTGGAGAGCTAAATCTCTCAGGCTGCAGCCCAGCGGGTGCTGCATGAAGCAAAGAGCAGACTGCGCTCTCCTCTCCAGCCGTGAAGCAACACTGCCCCACTGGGACCAAGCGCAGAAACGATGATTACCCGGTAGGTTTTGCAGCTGCTTT